GCCCTAGCGTGGGGAGGGATGTTATCACTGGTAACTGGTGATTCCATGAAGCGTTGCTCCAACGTGGGAGCAGGATCGATGAGGTCGGCATGGTAGGATGACTCGTCGTCGCCTTTCTCCTCCGCTTCGTCGTCGGTGATGTCCATGCCGTTTCCGGGTGGGCCAGATCAAGTGCAAGGGCATCCGGCGAGAGCAATTTGACGGGAAAGTCAGTGTCTTGTCACCTCCACCAACCCGGGGTAAGACATTTGGAAGATAACGTCAATGACATCAACTGACTCACCGACAATAATGCTGCGCAGGGAACCGAACATGGCGGGGGGTCGAGCAGCAAAGCCGCTGCCTCGGTAGCTTCCACCTTCTTCGTCTAGGTAACGCTTCCCGTTTCCTCTTCTCCTGTTTGATTGGCGGCGAATTCCACCGATGATGCTCTTGTACGACATCGTCGATGCTGGTGACGCGGGAGAGGACGCTTCCACACCAGCTGTGGACTTCTCCAAAGTTCCCTCATTACCACCATCAGAAACACTGCCCCTGAAACTCTCGCTCCACCCATCGTTCTTGGAACAACATGGCATATCAAGCATACGGTAAGCTGGAATTATGGCATAATTTGTGCACGTGGGATGTAGAATGGTTAGGGCTTCCTTTTTGGGCACATTGTAATGCTGAACGATCGGATGGAGAGTTTCTCGGGAAGCAAGAGTACTCTAGAAATGGATATGTTTGTCTTGGATACGTGCATACGGATACCTCGAGGCCTGTTTGACGTGAGTACTCACCTCGCTGCCAGGTGTCGATGGCCAGCTCAGCCCACTGTCTGTCGAGGCCCCGTCGTCTCTATCCCCGGTGTACCCCTCCGAGACCGGCGGCTGGTAGTACGCGACGTCGGTGTTGCTCGTTGCCGGTGATCCCACGAAGCCTCGCTCCGACCTGGGCGGTGTTGCCGTGAGGTCGGCATTGCGATCTTGAACATAGTGTTGCACGTCGTCCTTGTCGTCGGCGATATCCATGCCGTTTCCTGGTGGGGCAGATCGAGTCCGAGGGCACATACATGCAGTGAGAGGTGTTGGGCGGGGCAGTCAGTGTCTTTTCACCGTTACCACGACATGACAAGGGTCCACGAGAGTCAGTCTTGATTTCCGGTCACTTCGACAAACGTTGCTTCGACAAACGTTGCGCAGTGCAAAGCGTACCAACCGATGACGAAGAGGTTTGACTGATATTTAATGTTTTTCTCCTTCTACAACAGAAAATCTTTCCTTGTGATTCAGCGGAAATGGAGCGGAGTTACTTGGCACAAAAAGAGAGAGGTCAACGCACGTCCCGCGAATATGAAGACANGCAGTGCAAAGCGTACCAACCGATGACGAAAAGGTTTGACTGATATTTAATGTTTTTTTCCTCCTACAACAGAAAATCTTTCCTTCTGATTCAGCGGAAATGGAGCGGAGTTGCTTGGCACAAAAAGAGAGAGGTCAACGCACGTCCCGCGAATATGAAGACACCCAACAACAATGGCACAAACCTGAATAGGTGTTGCGAGGTGACCCCAACATGGTCGGGCTTCGGGTAGAACGGCCGCTGCCTCCGTAGCTTCGGCATCCTCCGTCTAGGAAACACTCCCCACCTTCAGCTGTCCTTTGTGGGTGGTTCGATTGGTGGTGGATTCCACCTAAGCTCTTGCATGAGGTCGACGCTGCTGCGGGTGTCGACGGCGAGGATGCGTCCGCCTGAGCTGTCGACTTCTCCAAAGTTCCCTCCGTGCCACCATCAGAGGCGTGGCCCTTATAGATCCCTCTCCCTCCGGCGTTCTTGGAACAACATGGTATGTCAAGCATACGGAAAGCTGGAGTTACCGCCACTTGTAGCAGGTGGCTTGGCTGAAGAAAGAACGGTTTGGCAATTGTTTGGCATGTTTTCTTGCGGAACTACCAAAATAATCACCCATGTCAGGTGCGGTAGGGTGCGTGTGGGGTCTGCATGAGTGGCGATCTATTCGCGGTGATTGCCCACCTCGTTGTCGGCCGACCCAGACCGGTATTCGCTACCGTGGGCGGGGACGATGGCGTAAGTGGCCGGGGATGGCGGCGAGTCCATCGAGGGCCGCTCCGACCTGGGACAAAACGCCGATCAAATCTGGTTTGTTTGTATGTTTGTGTGTCTCGGCGTTGTCGAGGGCATATCGCTCTCGGTTGTTACGCACATATGTGAGCGCTAGACGGACGCACGCACTGACCTCTACAGTAGGCTCGAAACCTACTTGCGGGATCCCAGTAGAGTGCGACGAGACACAAACTAATCAAGCGTGTTCTTCGGTACTTGACACAACAGCCAGCCGTGTTTGTTTGTAGATCAGTACGTCTAACGGTGGTGACTATATGTTGTGGTGAGCGTGCCAAATTTGCCAGAGACCCTCCTTTCCGTCGGCGACATACGTCACGATTCAGTAGTACCCATACCTTACGTGTCCATCGTTTCGCCGCCCCACACCGAGAACTGGCGCCAGCGACAAGCCTGCTGCGCTGGATTGGCTTGGTCCTACACCCTGCGTATCCCACCCCATGCCGTTCATCATGTCGATTCTGCGAGACGCCGTCTGAGCGGAACGCCTGGCTGATCTTACCCTAGCCGCAGCTGCGGAGAAGGTAAGATGGGCCGACCACGGCTCGTTGCTCATTCCAAACTCCAAGTCATCACTACCTGCGGCTGCCGGTGCGTCCACCTTTGGCGGGAAATCGTTCCGATGGTCCGTGTACTGCTCCATGCTGAGACCCCTTCGGACTATTGGCTGAGAGCTCGTGGTGCACCTGATCGAGGGAGACTCTCGCCTCGCAGCGCCCGAACGAGGATCAGCCCATAATCCGCCGCTGCCGGAGTGCGATGCTGTGCTCCCATGCCCACGTCTGCCGCCAGTGCCGCGGTCTTCCCCCCTAGCCCCCCAGCCTCCCCCATCTCCTCCTTCCCCACCTCCTCCTTCCCCACCGCCGATCCCATCGACACCCCGATTTGCCTTAACGATCGTGGACGGTTGTCCCTCGCCGCCCGAGACTCCATTCCCGTGCTTGACTGGCCTCGGCGAAATTCCAGCTCCTCGCACGGTTCCTGTCCCGCTGTGTGCCTCATTGCTTCCGGCCGTGCTTCCGCCGAGGACCCTCCGTGTGACGTTGCGCGGAAACAGTAGGCGCCAGAGACTGAATCGCGAGCGTGCGGCCGTGGAGGTGGGGGTCGATTGCTGGCGCGTCGAGGCTGACCCCGCCAGTGTTTGCTCCGGGCCCAACGATATGGCTCCTGTCCTCTGCTTCTTCGTTACCTGAAGTACAGGATGACGAATTGATTCAGCGGGAGGGATGTTGGTTGGCAGACGGGTGGGTTCCTTCTGAGGCGATAGTCTATCATCATAAGTCTAAATGGATGCATATCATCGATCGGCAGCGGTCGTTATTGGAGTACCTGTGGTGGACAAGCGCGCTCGCTCGGCCAATCTAAATCTATCTCGACGTCTGGAGCTTTTTAGGGTAGTCAAGAGATACAGTATACAACCACTATCGATTCCAGACCAATTTCTCCCTCGACGTGGATCGAAAGCGAAAGGCACATCACGGCAGAGACAGGTGGCGTTTCCTGGACAAGCGCGCCAGCCCCTATGACTCAAACTCACCCCATATCGATGAACTCTCGCATCCCTTGCTCCTCTGCTTCGTCCGCTGTTGGTCATGTCGTTAATGGGCTTGATGTTTCTCTGGTCACTTGTTTTGCTGCACACACGCCGGATGGGGCTGGCACGACCGGTACGGTAAACGGTATCCTCCGCCGCGAAAGACACGAGAGGAGGCCGAACCGTCTCGAGGATGACACGCGCACAGCTCTTTGTGCTGCACGAGAAGTAGTGGTCAGCTGCTGCCTTACACCGCGCGTCAGAGTACGATCGATGAGGCCAGATTGTACTGGTCCGGTCTCTTCTCTCCTTCGCCTGCTCTCCTACAGCAGTGTTGTAGTAATACCTCTCGGCTCAACAAACAAACGCACTCTGTCGTTCAGTGTTCAGGCTGAAGCGACGACGGAGCATCCGCTGTGGTCCACGTCACACCGCTCCACAACGCGCTGGTTGTGGTTGAGTTAGTTTCCTTGACTTGGAACAGAGGGCCTTGGGTCTTGTGTTGTTGCTGATGCGTGAACAGGTATGGCACCGCGAAGAGTGAGTAACGAAGCGAGAGGGGAAAACACGTCATTTGTTTTTGTCGCTCCCTTCGTCGGCGGAAAGCCGAAACCGTCGATATCTGTATGGTTGACAGCAATTGTTGACACAGGATCTCACATCCTTGCACGATCCCATCCATCCCCGTCAAGTTTGTCTCTCTCCGTCCTCAACATACTGGGCAGCATAGCCTCCACTCATCCGCAAGCACGTGACAAGCAGGCGCTGCAGATGGCACATAAACTTGATCTGCACGACGACCACCGGTATACATCGATCGCAGGCATACAGCAGTGTCTACACAGATGATCTGTGACTAGGGGAATGCAGCATCCCATCCCCGGGTGTTCCACACCTAGGCCATTATTGACGAAAGCGCTTTTCCCGCGAATAACGCAATGGTCAATTTGCTGCTGTAGATTATCGGTGTTGTGTTCCGTACTCTCTCTTTTGGCCAACAGGTCGTCGTTGGTCACACAGAAGAAGAATGTTCCGCTTCGTATTCCTCTTGTGGTTTCGGGAACGAACGCCCGTTTAACCACAGGCACCCATTCCACCGAGGAAATTGTCTGGGACTTGTTAAGAGCTGTAGCCCCTTCATTTGATAGAGATAGGCGCGACGTTGTTGGTTAGCCGCGATGTTAGAAGTCGTGGCGACGGTAACAATTGTCAAGGACTGGATGGACGACGATACAATCCACAGTGAAGTCTTGAGAGTTCCGGGAGGCCGCAAACGACTGTAAAAAACTTGTTACGTCACATGAGAGAGACTGTTCCGACACTACGCAGTGATGTCGCTCCCACTGAGGACTATTTAGTGATTGTGTAAGTGTTACTGTTTTCTGCCTCCATTCGTGCACCACATCCTGTTCACTCATACAAAGCGAGAACCTCACATACGCAAGTGCTGCTGCCGGCATGCACCGGAAGCGGGTACCGGCCAAAATGCTTTCGAAGCACAAGTAACGAGAAATCAATGTCCAACAGCTTTGGCACGGGATGCATCGTCACCACCGGCTCTACCGGGCAATATGCCTAGCACTATCAACCGGCAAGAGAAGCATTCACTGCCGTTGAAAGTTTCCCAAGCTGGTGTGATTGCATCGCACCACCTCAAGCGTCAACTCGCATCCACGAGCTTATCGAACACGGCAGTGAGTGGTGGATAACTGAGAGACCCCAACCAAAGCGGGGACATGCAACATGAAGCACAAACAAATCAGTCTGGTCGAGAAACCGATGTGTTTCGTGTGTATTGGGGCCGTTCATTGGCTTTGCTTTCTATTGGTTGGCTGCTGAGTTTCGCGTGCTCGGCAGCCAACTAGTGCGCGACATATCAAGGCACGCTCCCTTGCGGGGAAAAAAAAAATACCAAACAAGCACACACCCTCGATGCCCAGAGCTAGCCCATCAAAATACCACAAAAGGCTTCCCCACATTCTTTTCCCACTGTTTCGCTCTGCCTGCAAGGGTCACAGGCAGCCATGCCATTACACTCCGCTCAAAGGCTCCGATAACAGGCTAAGGGATCTTCAAGGGAAAATATTCACCCTGGCTTAATAATGTCGGCGGTGGGTTGCTGCATGCCAAAAGCCGCCACTGGTGGGGCGGGGCGGGTGAGGGGGGAAAAACAAACCCAGAGAAACGCCTGTTCAGACGCCATCCATCTGGGTCCCCGAAGAGGTTCTACAGCAGTACTCCAAAAAACCGTTTACAGCTCGTGGGTGCATCGTCCACGTGTGTGTGTGTGTGGTACGGTATCCCATCTAAAAAATGCACGAACCCCTTCCCCTTCGGCACTACACAACGCACAAACTGCTGTGATCGATTAACCACGAACTACCACGTCCTTGGCACAGAGCCAGCACAGCAGCGAAACGCAGCAGCAGCAGCAATGTCGGTTAACTAAATGGTTAGCAGCATTAAAAGCCCTGTCCCTCGAGGAACGGAACGGCGCCCTTGATCCAGTGCTCTGAAGCGAACGCCGCCACCGAGATCATGGCCAGACGGCCGTTCTTGAGCTCCTGGAGCCGCAGCTTCTCGACGGCCGTCTTGTCCCTGTGTGGCCGCAGAAAAGCACGACCGCGCAGGGGGGTGGGGTGGGGTCGAGCGTAATTAAAGACGAAACAAATTTCAACAGCAGTGCACCATAACGAATGTTCCCGCTTCGCGATGAGCTCGCGTACATCGGAAAATACTGCTGTACCCCGCTTGAATCTGATACGAGAACACTCCGCCTTCAACATTGTGCCCAGGATCTCATCGTCTTCGACAATGTCACGCATCCATTCCGGAAAAGTTCCTTCGACAGCGCTGACTGCATCGACATGACCAGCACAACCGCCGCACAAGTCACGTTTTTCCGCCGTACTTTCAAGCGTCTGGGGGCATAAACTATGGGACCTGGGGATGCCAAGGCGTTGGGGGCAGGACGAAAAATCCGAACAGAGGTAGCAACGACGTTCACACAGAAAAGAGGGATATCTCTCTCTTGAAACTTGCAACGCTTACCCTACCCCACACAAGAGCCTCGGATCGCTGCGAGCGCGACCCGGATTCCTCCAACACTGGGCGTAAAAAAAAGCGACACCCCAGCAAAAAGTACACCTACAATACCAAACACTCTACATAAAAAACACGACGGCATTGTGAAATGTACACATCAACACAGTAGTTAAACGCACGGCTTCTTCAAGTACAAGCCGAGGTCCCCCGCTTCGCGCTCTCCTCCTCCGCTCCAGAAGTCACCGCAGTAGGTCGCTCCCTCCGCCACAGCGAAGAACAACATAAGCTGCAGCCAAGCCACCCACCACGTGATGCCGATTGTCGACAGGAAGGATAGAAGGAACAACCGAACAAAAGCGGGCACCGCAGGGAGGGGTAGGGGTGTTAATAGGGGTGCAGTCGGTCATCAAGATTCCTAGCGAAAATGGCCAAAAGCAACCAGAGACCGCGTTGTCGAGAGCTCGTCACAGACCACACAAAATCAGAGGAACGACCGCACTCTCCTGGCAATTCTCAGAGGGCATGTTCGTGTTGAGCAGTCTCTACAGCCGCGATTGAGGATAACCCTCAGGGAACCGTAAAATACATACGATCACAGCAAAGACGTCCCGCTCGAGGCAATGCCTCCATTTGATCCGTTCCGCGAGCGACGAAGGCAAGGGATCACATAAAAAAAGACTGCGTGTTCTAAAAAAAAAACTCTATTCTGTTCCGAGCCCTCATACGTACATCCACCAGACATCCGTTCCGCGAGGGAGAAAGGCAAGGGATCACATAAAAAAAGACTGCGTGTTCGAGAAAATATTGTACATTTGTTCCATATCGTCATACGTACATCCACTGTAGAAATCCGTTCCGCGGGAAAGCGAGCAGAAAGGGAAACGGAAAGCGTATGTCTCAAAGGGTACGAAAGAGACAACTACCGCTGTATGCATGCAGGTCTTACCTGGGCCAGCCCACCCGGGTTTTTCGAGGCGAACTCGTTAAACTGCTCGTACCACGGCACGGCCTCGTACCCCAGCCCCGGCAAAACGAAGCCCGCCTGGGCCGCTGCAGTGCAAGCACGTACAGAATAGGGGGAGGGGGGAAACACAAGGAACACAGCCATGTATGTGTTGCTGATCTTAGCATCGACCGCCCCAACCGACTGACCATTGAAAATACGTCAGTCCCGGTGTGGTTGAAAACAGAAAGTACTTCCGAAGGCCATGATCACACACCCCGTGTGTTGTGTTTTGCAGCCAGCGTGCGTGTGCTTTATCCATGAGCATCGACTGCGATAGCCGGGGTCGACCAATGAAAAGACGTCGGCGTCGGTGGTAAGGCAGCAGGTGAATGTTCAACAAAACCATAGCGGTCATTGTGCTGTCTGTCTCTCAGCTCCTTCACCCATCAGTAAAAGCAACGACGACAGAAAACGGATGCATAGACCACCCGCGGATGCGCTGTATGACGGTGACATCAACCACAGCAGTCACCACAACGATACCAGTGGAGAAAAGCGACTATCTTTTTAGTACACCAAACGGACACGCCAGTAGCCGAGCATCGAACACCAACGGCAGCACACCAGTCGAGGCATTTGACATCAACAATATACATTCGGATGGATCGCACGCATATTCTGCAGCTTGAACGGTTGGTTCACTTTCTGACTTACCCCCGATGCCAACGAAGGCAAGCATGCAGATGCGGCAGTGCTTGATCTCAGACTCTTGCAGCCACTGCATTGCACGATAAAAAGGGGAGAGCGACAACGGGGACACGCGAGTCGGAGAGGGTGGGTCGGGTTATGGTGCACCTCAAAACCACACTGTTGTACATGAATCATGCCACACGTGGATGGAACAGCAGCCACCGAGCACCACCCAACACCGGAGTCAGGAAGAACGAGTTCATGAAGTTTGGTGGGGACGGGATGATCCAGCTGATGGTACTGCTGTACAACTGGGTGTGGAAAAATAAGCATGCGCCAAGTAGATGGAGGGAGGGAGTGGTTGTGAACTTGTTAAAGAATGGAGACAAGGCTGAACCAGGAAACTACCGGGGGATTGCACCATTATACACAGCAGGATATGTATTTTGAAAGCTGCTGAACGATAGGACAGTGGAAGTATTGGGGGAGGAAGTTTAGAACACCGGTCGACCCGGTGGTCTAGTGGGTAGCCTCGCAGCCTGCTAAGGGCCAGGTCATGGGTTCGAGTCCCGACAGAGGGAGTATTTCTCGCTAATTACATCCTGGTCTCCGTTGGAAGCGACGCGCTGCAAAGCTCGTTGCTAGTAAACTTGATCGACTTCGTAAGTCGCGAGGGAAGGGGTTGCTGTACCCTTCTCGCGATAACAACATCTCAGGCAGGAACCGCAGGAGGGGTTCCAACCCCCCCCCCCTCCAATGTGGCCCCGGTTGGGTCGTCTAGCTGGTAGAAGTGGACGATAAGCCAGAGGGGCAGACGACAGAGTCCGATGATGGGAGAAAAACAACAAAAACAACATCACTCCATCTTAGTAGACGACGGGACAACAAAGAACCTATTTTGCACCCAATATTTACTCATGCGGTGCACACACCTCACATTGACCGGCCGTCTGTTGGTGACGGTCAGGGTTAAGTTGGAAAATTATTTCGAACCAGGCTACAAGGAATTTTTTGAAGAGTTTGCATCTTGCGGTGTGCAGAGCTTCTTCCGGTCAAGCCCCAAAGTCCACGCAGCGATGTAATTGCCCCTTCCCATGGAATCGCTCTTCCCAACACATACATAGGTTTTTTTCCACACCGAAAGGCGGCAGGTACGTTAGCCGGGGTTGAACCGAGGGGTCCGTTGCGGTCCAAACGACGGGAGATGCGCCCGACCGGCTATATTCCAAGCAAGCCTGCCTGCTGTACCAAACATGCTTGTTGGTGTTGCACATACAACGACGGGAGATGCGCCGCGTTCTCGCAGCGCTCCGTCACCGATGTGCCCGGCCGGCTTTGTACCAAGCAAGCCTGCCTGCTATGCCAGACATGCTTGTTGGTGCTGCATACACAGGAACGTCACCACCCAAGAACCCCTTCTTGACAGGGCAAGCTAACAGCGACGAATCATATAGGATCCGTAGTTACAACCCTAGTCCATCGTGCAAGGGGTTCCCCAACCATCAATTGCCGCAGCGTTCACTGCTAAGAGACGGCGACCTGCCGGTGTTGCGTGCGTGAGAGCGGCGGAGGTGCGCTACGGTCCTCCCACCGCCCCCAACGCACAGCAAAGATAGGCATCACCGATGAAAGAAAACACCAACACCATAAATCCCCTAACTGCTGTTGTCACCGTTTTTTTCTCTCTTGGTGCCAACAAGTAAGACAGAAGTGTGTGTCTGCTGACGTCAACAACAAACATAATGCTTGTTCACTACGTTGTTGGCACTGCGGGGGGGGGGACAACTGCGGTATCCAGCGACAGGATCAAAAGCACTACCCCCGATCACGCGGATGAATGCCAGGAGTGGTACTACTTCCAAGAGATTATCACGCAACTCGGGGTGTAAGAGTATCAGGTACCTCGGGGTGGTGCTACTTACAAGAGATTATCACGTACCTCGGGGTGGTACTACTTCCAAGAGTATCACGTACCTCGGGGTGGTACTACTTCCAAGAGAGTATCACGTACCTCGGGGTGGTGCTACTTCCAAGAGATTATCACGTACCTTGGGGTGGGGGTTGACGAAGGGGTTGATCGAGTGGAGCTCCGCGAGGCCGAGGGGGTCGAAGACGGCACCTCCCGCCTCCAGGGAAACCCCGACCTCACCGTCCAAGGCGCTCATCGACAAGGGCGTCTTCGACGATGCCTGCTTTGCGGTGGTAGTTTTGTTTTGTGTAGTCAATAAGAGAAGAGAAAAGAAAATGGAGGAAGAGGTAAGGGATCGATCGGGTGGGATGGAACCAACACGATACGACAATCGTGCGCCTAACAGATTTCAAGATTGAAGGAGATGTCGATGTGTGTCATGTAGCAAGAGATCGAGGGTCACCGCCGTTGGCGGGCGGAGGTCAATTGCGGTCGTTGACAAGGGCGTCGCAACGCGGCGGTGCATCGTGGTACAGCAGTAGCGGTAAGGCAGTACACAGAGAGTAAGAAAACGAGAAACCAACCACAAGAGACATCGCTGGCATCTATCGTATCAGATCATAGTGTATCGTATCATACGTGGATACGACATGAAATCATTTTTCGCACACACCGTATATAGCGCATTGAACGGTGTGACCAGTACCAGGTGGTTTGTTACTGTTGTTACTGTGTGTTGTTGATCCTTTTGGGGGGCTCCGGGAAACGCATTTTCAGAACTTGACGGGGGTGGGTGGTAACTTCCGCACGTGGTGGCGTGTAGTGCGCCCGTAGTCAAGGTTCCCACCGTTTGCAAGCTTCCGCCCGGAACGTGCGCCTACACCACGAATATGTTGTACATGTTGGGCAATCGTGTGAAATTTGTTCGTGACAAAAAGCTTGAGCTCTAGAGCACGTCACCAACCAGCAAGCACGTCACCAACCAGCAAGCACGTCACCAACCAGCAAGACATGCTCCATCGCTGCAGATACCGTTGCCCACGGGTCGGACTGCCAAAAACAGAGCGCAAAACACATGCATATGGCACAAAGCGCTGTGACCCACTCACAGGCCACAGCCTTCCTTAGTCTGGTTAATGTCTCGGGACAACCTGAAGGGTTGCCTGTTGCTCCTTGTGTAGCCTGAGGCGGAGGCATGTCAGCGCTGACAAACGCACCTCCTGGTAAGTACAGTAGAGGTCCCTGTTCAGTACCTGTTGAATAGTGCCGGTTGCCGGTATAGTGCCGGTGTTTTCGCCTCGTACATACTGCTGTAATATCAAGTCGTTCTGTACTTTGAATAGTGCCGGTGAAATTTTCGCGCACACCCCGGCACTAGACAGGGACTTCTTAGAATAATTAGGGTGCCACACTGCTCGCCCCAGTGGTCTAGTGATATCCTCGTAATCCGCTAGTCGCAGAGGTCGTGAGTTCGGATCTCCATGGGGTGGAAAATTTGCGAAATGTGCAGGCAAAAGCGAAATATAGCCAAAAGGCTCTCGGGAGTACCAAACTTCGACGTTAGCACCGTTGACGAGGGAAAGGGACGGCTGGACCCTTCTCGCGATAAAAATTAAATTCAGCACCCACCGCAGGAGGAAGGTGGGGGATGAAAAGAAATTAAAAAAATAAAAAAGCGCTGGTGTTTACCCCCTCCTGTGTGACCCTGGATGGTTGTAGTCGTACGAAAAAATACGCTGACAAGTGTAGTACTCTACATACGCTGAAAAGTGTGGCAGACGTCTCACCACGGAAAATGGGGGGACTGTCGCCATAATAAATAGGACGAAAACACACACATGCTACATGACGTAGTCTAGAACAGCCGCCGATGTCCTGTCGTGTCATCACTAGTATCCAACGCACGTACCTTACACGCTACCTACACCGCCAGCTCCTACGACCGGATTATGAAGTGGTGTCTCTACTTGACCGACTGTAAATTTGTGCGACACTGCCAGATACCAACCGGATCATGATACGCGTACTACATATTCCTCCGTCACTTCCCCCCCCGCCAAAAAAAAAAATGAGGATGCTGCGAAATTATGCTCTGTGGCAGTGTATGCGTAAGTAGAGGGGGCCTCCGAAACTCTGTGTGTTCCGAGTCTACAGCACATCTCTCGACCCCAAGGCAACATTCCAAGGCACCATAGCACCCGCGATGCCTTCCAGCTTCGCTTGCTGTGCCTATGCGCCCGGCAGTAGCTCAGTCAAGTCGCAGTTTTACGTACTGCTGTAGCGGTGGTGCGCATGATGGATCGCGTGCAACAACATCAAGGATCGCCACCATGGGGCAGAGTAGTGGCAGAAACTGCAACCGGGAAGCAAACACCAGACCCTACGTCCCTCGATCATACCGCAGCCCTAGCGTTGCCGATGGTGTGCTCTGAAAGACTGCTTGCTGTCCGTCGCATGTTCGCTCGCGCCATCAAGACAAACAGAAACGTTGATAATGATGTCTTCATCCAAACGCACCTTGCTGAGCGATGCAGTAGGTGCCCGGAAAGCGCCAGGGCTCACGAAAGCGCTTGCCATGCCAAGCGAGCAAACGGCGGCTGCGGCGGTGACCTTCATGGTTTCAGAGGATAGTAATGCGATAGAGCTAGAGGCCGTAGGTGGAGAGAGTGCTTCAGCGCTCCGAATGTGTGTGTTTGGAAGGCGAGAGCAAAAACACGAACGCCTTCCCGTATGTGTCCGATACTAAACCTGAGTTAATTTTAGAGGATCGCGCCTCAACAGCCGTTCCCGTCCTACAGTGGCTCCGGGGACATTTTGCAAACCAACCCCGGGAATATGAAAGTAGGTATTTTTCTCGTTTCTTCGAGCGCTGGATGTAACCGCTGCTACGTATATGCTGTGTCGTTTTCTTGGTCTCAGCGAACACTCTCCTCTCCTTGGCAAGCCTCCGTCAGCTATACTCCATCCACTGCGACGCAAGCTTTTCTCAGAATTGTTGCTCGCGCATAGATATGTGGTGGGCAACAATCATGTGGGGCGATGTGAGATATCGTTTTCACGGCCCGCATCGGTGTTGTTTAATACTTCGAAGTACATGGTACATGGACGGTCAGCCTGTGGGCACATTGTTGCGGTCCAGGCAGTCATGGTTGCAAAGGATAGTGGCACGATCGAGCTAACAGACCGCCACAATGTGCTCTCGTAAACATCGTACTGCACGAGAAACAACTATCATCACCGTTGTACGTGATAGAGTTCAATTTGGTACTCTGTTGAACGAGTATTGTAGGATACAGTTAGACTCTAGTCTTAGAATATAGCAGAGGTCAAATGACCAATGTAGATTCGGTGTGCCGGCTGGGAAGACCACCGAAGTCTAGCCTAGCATTGATGTGGTTCCCGTGTACCGCCGCATGCGCATGTAGTCTAACAAGCACCAAAACCATCTCGCAGCATGAGTCGCGTATGTTCATCAATACGTTAGTCGCATTTCCATCTCGATGTACAGCAATAGTCTAGACTACATACTCTCCCTTCTTCCCCTCGCTCCTCGACAAGCTTTTGCTTAGACATGGGTTGTAGTGAAGGGGGGGGTCTTTCTGGCGAGCAGGGCTAGACTCACCCTCAAGGGATGACCGAAACCTTCTTGCTGCTGCGCATATCCGCCGCGAGGCATGCGCGTGGTGGTGTAGTTGGGTCGGCACTGATGGGGTCAGGCGAAAAAATGTAGATGCGCGGGCCTCTGGCCGTCGGCGTAGGCAGCGATGCCCATCTCATTTTTTGTGCGCGGAGGCAGACACCGTCAGAAGGTGGACGGGAACTATGTACACGGCCCTAGGTTGGCTAGAGGGCGCTGCATTGCCTCAGTAACCTGGCTTCGCCATCAAAGGAGGAGGGAGCAGGTGGCGACGAGCTGAACTGGGCTGGTTGACCCCTTCGGCGCGAGAATTTTNNTATCATTTGCACGCCGATGGAAGAGGAGGAGAACCGTGGCCAATCGCCCGCACACCCGGTCGCCCCGGTGTTCTAGTGGGTAGCCTCGCAGCCTGCTCAGGGCCAGGTCATGGGGTCGAGTCCCGACAGAGTGAGTTTTTTTTCGCTATTTAAAGAATCCTGGTCTCCGTTGGAAGCGACGCGCTGCAAAGCTTGTTGTTAGTAAACTTGATCGACTTCATAATAAGTCGCGAGGGAAGGGATTGCTGTACCCTTCTAAAAATACCTCAGGCAGGGACCGCAGGAGGGGTTCCAACCCCCCCCCTCCAATGTGGCCCCGGTTGGGTCGTCTAGCTGGTAGAAGTGGAGGATAGGGGCCAGAGGGGCAGACGACAGAGTCCAATGATTGGAGAAAGAAATATAAACACGACGAAGCTCCTGGACAACCTGTATTACTTTGTAGTCTAGTCTTGCTTGGTGGCGCTTGGTTTACAGCAGTTGGGTTAGGGTTTTGGTAGTGTTCAAACGAGGATACAAAGGTAACAAGACGGACCTGTTCCTTTGGCTTTGTCGACATTTTCTTCCCATAAGAGTCGTGAGACGCCTCCTTTAAATTTCGAACATAAGTCATTCTATAGCATTACGACCCCGGCCGCCTATGTAGCCATCGACGACCTCGCTCAGGGCGTTGGTTTTTCTGACGGAAAGCACCGTGTGCAGGAGACTAGAGGGCCACGCCCTGCCCTGGATCGCATTTGCGCTTCGTTTCGATCGTGTCGTGTCGTGTCGTTTCCTCCTCCGTAACCTCGGCGGGCAAGGAGAAGAGCCGGTCTGACGACGAAAAACACATCATAATCCAAGTTGTACTACCTGAAAAACATGATTGACCTAGAGGGAACTCGCGCATATATATCGATCCACACACATACTTGTACACGGAAGGAGCAAGGCAACAATCAAAAGACAATGCACGAATGAGTTAGGGCTGGGAACACACTAATGTCGTGGCAGCGTTGCCGTACATAATACCGGTAGTGCTGTGCAAACGAAACACTGTTGACCTCTCTCCGTAACAAAGAAGAGCCCTCGTCCAAGCATTGTCTAATCACCACCAGACGAACGTTCGAATACTGCTGACTGCTGCTGTACGCAAGACCACATGAATTGGTGGGGGGATGGTACGTGCATGCAATGCGTGGGTGTGCACATCACCATCACATACCCGCATGTGTTTCCCGCTGAAATCTTAGGGAAGGAACCTCTGAGAACAGCGGCAACAATAGCAATAACAGCTGATACGACAAAATCAACACCGTGGGGGTACTCTAAACACGGGCCAGCCTCCCACCCCGCACATACCACGCGGGATGTAGACGTACGTGCAATAGTGCCCATACCCTCTCGTGTCCGTCCCCGTCAGTATTTCCTCGTAACGAAAAACAAACCTGGAGCACCCCCCGCGCTGAAAACGAATCCAACTAACCAACACACAGTGTGTCCTTCCTCCACCCTTTGAAAGCACTCTCCATTCGTTCAAAGCTAGCCGCACATCTTCGTTGTTTCAAACTCCAGTGCTATCGCTATCTCGACAACGAGCCAGGTATGTGTGCAGCCGCGCACAGCATAGGAAAAAACGAAAAAAAAAAAAGTTTTTTCTAGTTCTCGCCCCCCGTTTTTCCGAGTAGATCTCGCTATTTGCACCGCCGTGAAATGCAGCGTTTCGGTTTCAAGATAAAAAACATAGGCTCGTCGATTCGTACGAGAAGACAGGCAATGGAACGATCACGCGAATTGAGAGCCCCCGCCATCCACCGAGGTAACAGGCCAGACTCGGAAAGGAGCATCAACGTCAAATCGACGCACCTCCACTCAAGAAGCTTGGGAGTCAGCACTCCAGGCTCAAAAACAAATCGGAACCTTGAGAACTCGATCATGACAACAGGTGCGCAGGTAAGTCTCCTACACCGCAGCCTGCATCGTCGATACTGGAGTATATGAAAAACAGTAGACAAACTGCCAGAGTACCCTCGCAGCAAAACATGAGGGTCTGACAGGGGGCGGTGCAACCTGTCGCTGTTCGCATCAAGCCCTTTGGTGGAAGAAATCGACAGTTCGCGACAGTTCGTAACCGAGCGGAATGTGGAGGCACTGGGTGGACATCAGAATGGTTAAGAATGCCCGACGATCAAAGTTAAGAAAAAAGGAAGACATTGACAACAACACCACCACCAACGACTGCCTCGCTCAAGGCACCAATGCTCACCGCAACACCGGTATCAACTTGGAAGACAACCTCGACACGCGGAGTATCCCTTGATGCGACAGGTCCACCAAGGAACGGCATTTTTTCCCACCTCAACACTACAAGAAAGTCTGCGAGTTTGGAAGTAGTACGTGGGTTCGACGTTTGCCTGAAAGCACAAGGCTGTTCCTGGAACTCACTCCAACATGGGTGGATATTCGAACAAGCTCCAGTTCCACGATAGTTTCAAGAAAACTCTTGAGCATCTAAGAACCTCTCTTGGCGTAAAGATTCGACCGCGTAATCCTAGTATCGATTTCGCACCATGAGGATGTCAGACCTCTCAGACTACACAGCAAAGCGAATCGTGGTAGACGATCAACAGAGCTATGTCACGTACGTACTGGTACAATCCTTCTATCTTCTTTCCTTGAGCGTGTGACGTGACGAAGCAAGACGGGGCACATGAAAAAGAAAATCATTCCATGCCTCTGACATGAATGACGCACAGCAGCACCCCCTTCCGCGGAACACATCTGTGCGAAACCCTTAGGAGCCCTCCGATTTACACCCACTACCACCCTGCTGCCGTCAAACATACCAGCTGCGTGCCCCCTCCCCCCGCGGCCTCATGCGTTGCGCTCTTCGCTTATCCCTTGGAAATCCATATCCACTCGGCCTTGTGATTTTGGAAAACGCAACAACTCGCGCGACCGCGCATTTCGCCACCGCCGCTCTCTTTCCCATCTTGGCACGCAAGAGACCAACCACTCTATGAGTGCCATGCCGATACGAAACGAAATCAGAACAAAATCCACATTACAGGGCCTTCTATCTACTGTTCGCCACGAGTTCCCGCCGTACCCCCCAACCAAAATCAGCCACCAGTTGGCAGGCAACACATCACAAAAAACAAATCATAAAAAAGATACTCCCCCGGTGACTTGTAGCGGGACAAGAACAATACTAAATCCTCTGCTGACCCCCCTCCACCCCGCATTTTTCCCATTGAACACATGCAAACAAGCAAACACCTGCTGCGCTATATCCACCGATCCGAGGGCACTTGACACGTGTCTCTTTCGTATGTGCCTCAGAGAGGATAAGGAGCAGGTTGTCCGCCTCGTCAGAACGTAGTGAATGACTTTCTGTCCCCTATGATACTTAAAAAACAATGAACAAAAAACTTGAGTCACTTCATCCAAAACAAACTCTGCCTTCCTTGCCCAAGCAGAAGACGAAACCCACGCCTGTCTGACAAGCAGGCTCAATCCGTGCCAGACGCTGTTCGTGGCGCAAGACGGACCATCGCGGTGGTCTCTTGTCGACCCGATAGAGCGCATACCGCTTCTGTCGTAGGCGTTATTATATTCGATAAAGATAAGAGCGTAAATCAGTACTGCTTCTCTCCTTCTATTCCTATGAAGCCATTGAGCTAGCGAACAAGCGGCCATGCGCAACGCCTTCCGCACCACACAAACACCTCCGCTTAACTCCGAGCTGGTCATGCCTACTTACAGTCGAAGCTCGTGAGCGTGATGGCTAACGCCTGTCATGCCGTGCAAGAACCAGGACAAGGGTCAGGGGGGCAAGGGGAGGGTAAAAAAAGAAAATGGGAACGAGTGGAGTGGAAGACGATAAGTACACTAGGGTGGCTGGCCGCGAAATGGTACCTCAGTAATGCCTGGTGTGCACCGTGCTGAGCAGACAGAGGCCGGCTTTCTAGCGTTACGATGGCAATAACAACAACAACAACAACAACAACAACAACGATAACAAGATAACGATAACAAGAACGTAGGTATAGATTGCAGCGGAGACACGGGGTGGCAGAAGTCCATGGTGAACTAACTCGTGCAACGACAGCGACAATGACAACAAGCACAACGAACATCAACGTAGATAGCGGTAACATACCTGCAGCGGAGACAAGGGGTGGCAGAAGTCCATGGTGAACTCATTCGTGTGCGTCCTCCCGAACTGCAGGGTGATTTGCTCCGTCACGTCTCCCTGAACGACAAGCTGGAAGTTCTTCACGGACGCTTGAGTCACCCTCCCGTGGAAGTTCAGCACGAACGCCTGCACCTGTTGTTGTTCAAAGCAACACGGGGGGAAGCCGGAGCATAAGTACGGTGCATACATGGGGAGGAGATGGGGTTGAGGGAAGCGGGAGGCGAGACCATTCCGTGAATAACTATCCAACTTTTCACGGAACCAACCACGTGTGTATTGTACGTGGGTTCATGTCCATGTGAATTGAAAAACGGAATGAATGGTGTTGGGGAAGGAGTCGGGGGCTGTGTTCGTGTTATGAGAAAGAGTAACCAAGCCAACCCACGCAACTCCCAAAACAAAGGGAGCAGGGAATTGCGTGTCAAGAGGAGATGGCCCGGGCTACCCCACAGCGTGCCACGCGGCCAAACGATGGCATCATGCACCATGCACACCACACCGACGGCGACAACGAACGCGAGACGACAACAACTACTTCAACGCCAAACGATAGAACAGCAACAGCGACAACAAGAGTGTACCATAACTAACACCTAACACACCTTGGCGTTCCATCGCGGATTTCTGTTGATAAGGCAGGGCTCCTCCAGAGAATCAAGGCTTCCCCTCAGCATGCGGTGAAGCAGGGACGATTCTGCCTCCACGTCCGCGTTGTTGCCGTGCATGTTGCCCAGTACCACCCTCATCTTGCGGGGCCCCTCGTACCTAATATACCAGACAAGAAGCAGACCAGAGGAAAAATAAAGGAGGGGGAGGAGGCACGAAAGGGAGAAAGCAAGGACAAGTCCAATGACAAGGGATTATGTGCAACAATTAATAGGGAGAGGGGGCTCGAGAGAGGTGCGAGGCCGAAACAGGGGTTCCGTGGCATCAGGCTGCCGGATGAGTACCCCATCAAATCGCCATGGCGTTCACGATGGAAGGAACCAGCACCGTATGACGTCATTAACATGATCGCCGTGTACAGCAGCACGCCCGAAGCACGCGGGAACGGCTGCGTACTCCCTAGCACAAAACGGGCGGGGACGGGACGACAGCTTCAGCACCACTGCCGAAACCCTTCATTGCCAGCAGCTACATCAGAAACCACAACCAACGACAAAAAACCAAAGCAACCAGGGCACCAACAGCAGCACCAGCAGCACCAGCAGGAGCAACAACAATCTCACCGTCCATGCGGATCCATCTTGTCAGCCGAGTAGTGCACCGCAGCGACCTCCTTCTCCTTCCCGTTGCCCCTGTCGTCTGGACCGGTGAACCTCGGGCTAAACACCTGCAAGTACATTAATACACAGGCCGGAGCTGAGCGTGTGTACGGTTTGATTCCTTCGTTGGTGTCGAATTTTTTCGTCTCTGCCATCTCACAAATCATCGTCGACACGAAATGTAGACTACGCCTGTTGCATCCCGCAGATGACAGAACAAAAAAAATCGCTCCAATGACCTTGCCCGCAAATAGGCCGACGAAACATATGCATTTTGCGAGAGCAGTCGAGTGTTCCAAGGCCTCCGGCTGATCCCGCGACTCCACCAGTGACGAGGGTTGCGAGAAGCGAGAGCGAGAAAAACGAATATCCGAGAACAGTACTGCTATGCGGTATGTGGTACCTGAAACTCCTCCGACGTCCTGGTGGTGGCCTTGAGTCGTCCCACGATGTTGCTGCTGCTGCCGCTGTCGTCACCGTCCTCCCCGTCCTCCATGGTCATCACGAACTGAGACGCCGAAGCTCCGCCTTTCTTACGCGCCGTCATCAGGTAACGGTCCGGGAAATCTCCTGCCGCACGCGTGTGCCGTCATTTAGAGCGTATGGTAGGGGAAGATGATGAAATGGCGGCAGGATGGCGTATCAACGACCTGAGACGCCGAAGCCCCTTCTTTCTTTCATCGCCAGCGACAAAGGCTGCTATCCTCCCCCCGCAAAAAACGGCACTTTTCAAGCAGACCCAAACATGTTGATACTCTCTCTATCTCTCTCTCACCCTTTCCCTCCATATAGAGCTTGTACACCTCGTTGCCGCGGATGAGCTTGCTGAAACCTCGAACCTGTCGATATCGAAGTCAAGAGCGACGGACGGTCAAACGACGACATGGAGGACAATCATTGTCTTCAAATGTGCAGCCTGCTTGCGGAGATCACCCCCCCCCCCCCCCCCC